AAAAAAAAAAAAAAAAAAAAAAATTGTTAAAAAACCAAACAACATACAGCAATTAGTTGTTTCAAAGATCATGAACTTTACAGACGTGTCTTGATCCCTCAAAGCCTGTTCATTCTTAGCTTAGACATGACTAATAATCTAGTTACCTGGATTCTAACCAAGGTGGAGTAGAGCACCATGTTAAAAGAGAAGGAGCAACCTCACTGAGAATAGGAAGCACAGCACGTCAGTGATGAAAGTGACCAAAATACTATTTAATATAGATACTTTAAAAAGCAGGGCAATGTGGGGCCTCTTAGTACAAGAGCAAAGTATAAGATGCTATTATTCCCCCAGCTCAGCAGAGGCCAAGAGTCCCTGCTCAATTTTTCAAAATAACTCTATCCTTGTATTTGTTGTTTGTGCAACCTTCCACCTACTACTTCCTAGTTTAGTCATTAGACCCTGCTTGCTTTGGATCCCTCCTTCCCGCCTTCTGTTCATGGCTCTTACAATCCTGGTTAGCATTCACAAATTCACCCTTAATATGCACTATGGTCTGACATTTTGGCTTTCCTCATGGTCCCCACTTCTAATTCACAACATATCCTTTGGAATAACTAGCCTAGAATTTAACTACATTTCTGACCTTCTTGGAGCCATACCTGAGGGTTTTTTTTTGTTTGTTTGTTTTTGGCAGACATTATTTCTCACTCCCTGCCAGATGCCCAGCTAGGCTCTTAACTTTGCAAGGATAGCTGCCGGAACAACATTATCACTCTGCCTTCTGGCTGCCACTGTCATGGCCAACCCAAGTAATACAGTGAACATACCATGTGTTACCTCTAACCCCCAAGTTGGTCTGGGGCAGCACTCCATAATTAAACTCAATGATATCTCTGCATCAAAAGACATACATATTCATATAAGGTGGGATAAATAATGACTACAAATAGCTTACCATCTCAGGTCATGTTTTGTTGATAAATGAGTTAAGAAAAAAACTTTTAAGTCTTTGAACTCAGAAATTAAGATTAAGGGATTTTTACCTGAATGTGTTTTTCTTTTATTCTTTTCAGAGTTCCTCCCAAAATATTTTTCAAAAAATGTTTTGGTGTTTCAATGGGTAATTTCAATTTTCTGATAATTTTGCTTACATAAAAAATGTATTGAAGAAATGAGGTATCATTTTGCATATGTGCACAAAAACATGCATATATTCAACATATAGAAGCCTACAAATTCAATAGAAGAGGCTATAAATAGATGCTGTTGTATCATTACCAACAGAAAAGTATTATCTGGGCAATAAGTACAACTGAGTTACTAAAAAAGTACATATATAAAACAATTTAGTAAAATTAGAGCCATACCATGGTTTTAAGATCAGAAATAGTATATGCTCACCTTTAAATATTTAGAATAATTATTTCCCACCAGTTTTCCTTCTTTCTTGTCACATAACTAGCTCCAATTTCTTATGCTGGTAACATTTAATATATAGCTTTAATATGGCTATATTATACTTTTTTCCTACAATTATCTTTTAAGTTATCATTAAAAGAAAAATCCTAAGCATGATTGTAGATACATAATCCATTTTCAATCTGGGTGGTATCTGTTTAGAGAGGTCTAATTTCCCATTTGGGTCTTACTATAGATAAATGTTTGATTTCATGTTCACAGTTACACTTTCAATAATTTTCTGCCTGATCTTTTTTTTTAAAGATTTTATTGGGGAATTGGGGGAGGGGAACAGCGTTGGGGAATCGGGGAAGGGGAACAGACAAGTTGCTGTCCTGTTGTTCTTCAGTCTAGTTGTGGAGGACGTCGCTTCACTGGCCCATGTTGGTATTATCATTGCGCTCTTCCCAGGTGAGGCAGTCGCTCTCTGGCCATTGGATGGCCGCTCACAGCGGCTCAGGAAAGCTCACGCCCGCTGCTGGCCAGCCCCACTGCAGCCCAACTCCAGGTCAAGCTGTTGTTCACCATCTTAGTTGTAGAGGGTGCAGTGGGATCCAAACCAGGGCCCTGCTGCTCAGAGCTGGCGTCCCAAGCCAACACTTAACCAATGCGCTACTCGGCCAGCTCTCTCTCTTTTTTTTAAAAGATTTTATTGGGGAATTGGGCAAGGGGACCAGCCAAGCTGTTGTTATTGTTCTTCAGTCTTCATTGTGGAGGGCGCCAGTCGCCATCTGGCTGCCTGTCGGGTGGCCTCTAAGCTCAAGGTGCTGTGTTCAATCTTAGTTGCAGGTGGGCGCAGCCACCATACCATGTGGGAGTTGAACCAGCAGCCTTGTTGTTAAGAGCGCACACTGTATCCACTCAAGGTGCCGAGCTCAGTTTTAGGTGCAGGTTGGCATAGCCCACCATTAAACAGGCAACCTTGTTGTTACACAAGCTGAGCCATCCTGCTGCCTGTTGGCAGCTCAGTGAGAGCTCAGCTTGGGTGCAGCGTCACTGGCCCATGTGGGAATCGAACCGGCGGCCCTGTTGCTCAGACCTTGCGCTCTTAAGCCAACTCTTAACCAACTGAGCCACTCGGCCGACCCCCTGTCTGATCATTTTGATAAATCACTATGTCACTGGGTTCACATAAAAAAAATGTTTTGAGTAAAAGCAACTTACTGTTACTTCTGATATACACCATGAATGATATGTTAAAAAGGGAGTTTATTAAGTGAAAAAGAGTTTTGACACGAGATCTAAATTAAAACTAAAAATTATAAACGAGTATGGTTGTGTTCTAGTAAAATTACCTACAAAAACTGGGAGCAGGCTGGGTTTCACCCACAGGTTGTCAAGTGCTGACTCCTTGTCTAATCCAAAGAATTTAACACTAGAACTAGACAAGGGATTCAATTAAATAAATAAATCTTTACTAATTCCTTACATCTCAATTAATTCATTTTTTAAATGAAGTTTAATAATAGTTTCTGTAGTCTACTTAAAAAGTAGAAGTCCTTTTTAAATAAGAGGACTATGGTCCCATTCAAGGACTGTTCAAATCTGTCAACTATATTATGGATAATTAATGAAAACCAAAGACTCAATAAAGTTTTTTTTTTTTAATGCAGATGTCATTAAACTGGTTAATCAGGATTTAGAATAAAAGAATTTTAGAATATGAAGGGGCCTAGACAAATCCAGAATTTAATCACTTTATTCATAAGATAATTAAGAAAGAATCATAAAGGTTATAAATTGCCTCAATCCCCTTGTTGAAATAAAGCTGGATGGAAGAAATGTGCATTGCTGAAAGATAAAAGTACTTAAGTTTTTTTCCTCAGCGAATATATTATCTCTTTAATTAAACAAAAATTTAAGGTACTTTAGATTACGTCTTTTCTGCCACTAAAGTCAGATACAATAATAAATAAAGCGAAAGGAAGAGAAAAGTGACCTAAGATCTATAAATAATAAATAGTGGAGAAGCTTAAGCTAAAACCCAGGACTCCTATCAGGACAGGACGCTTTTCCTATACTATAGCTATCTATACAAAATAACTGCATTCTAAGACAAACCCAACCTCCAGGGCTTTTTCCAACTGTCACTATTCTGTTAGAAACCCTGCCTGCTTACCCATTTTGTCAAAGAAAAAAAAAAATCGATGCTGTTAAAATGTAAGAAATCTCGGCTTCAATGCTGATCTAAAATCACTTAAAGACTTCCTTTCTAAAATGTTTGGAAAATGAAACAGGGCAATTCTCTCCCCATCCACCTAATGCCCAGAGATCTAAGGATCCTTCTGCTTCTTGAACCGTACTTGTCGGCCCCCTTCTCCCCCTCCTTTTAACGTCTCCTCTAGGCTGTAAGTTCCTTAAGGGCGCCGAGACTGCACATAAAATGCGCTGAATATCTGAATAAATGAATGCACATAAAAACAAAGTATTATGGTGAATTTTAATGAAAGAGCTCAAATCGTCTGACAGCTATTACCTGACTTGACAATTCCGAAAATCATCTTAACTTGCCAGAGGTGAGCATTACTGTGATTAGTAGATACCATAAAGCGCTTTATAAAGTTTGTAAAGACTTTATAATCACTTGAAACGACGTTGTGCAGACCGAGAGAAGCATAAGAAGAAATGCTTCCTCACACTAAGCAAATGCTACTCCAGTAAAGACTTTCTTTCGTTTCGAGAAGGGCTGGAAAGTCCTCCACGTAGAAGGCAATATCCACTCTGTCTCCACTGCTGCCTTCAGGAAACCCTCCTCGAGGGCTGCGCGCGGGCGTCGGGAGAACCTCGCCCGAAGCCCGGGTTGGGGCCCGGCGGGCGTCGCCAGGGCGGGTCCGGGGAGCGGCGCGCCTGCATGGCGGGCTCCGACCTTCCGACCTTTCCGCAGACCCGGAGTCCCCGGGCTCCCGGCCACGGGCAGAGTCCACGCCTACCTGTTGTGCTCGGGTGTAACCAGACTTTCCCGGAGCCCAAGAGGAAGAACGGACCACACGGGCCATTGGGCAGTGCCCGCGCCCAGTTCAGGTCCTCCTCGGTGGGCTCCGGCCCCTTCGGCCATGACACCCAATCCCCGGACCTGTTCCCGCACCCGGGGGACCAGCGTCCTCCAATACTTCACTGTCGCGACCACTCTGGGGTCCCCTAAGCCGTTTAACTTACTGTGCAGGCCCCGGTGTGTTGATCCTCCCGGCCGGCAGGCAGCCTTGACACAGCCCACTCGCGCCCGGAGCCGCCTCCAGTCTCGGGACTCCCAACTACTTGCACTCGGGGGTCCTCCTCGGCTCAACGCCCGTCCTAGTCTCGCCAGGACACCGGTACCACAAGAGCGCAGCGACTTGCCAGCAGCGGCGACTGCGAATCAGCGCGGCGGAAGAGGCGCGCGCGGGGCGGAGCCGAAAAGCTCGGAGCCCCCAGAGCCGCGGGAGCCAGAGATTGGGAGCGCGCCCTGCGCTGCGCAGCTCCGCGATCCGAGGCCCCGCCAGCCGGCCGCCGAGCCATCGAGCGCCCACTCTGGCAGGCGTGACTGCTCCACCGCCGAGAGAGCGATGAGGGAGACTGTGGCCCAAGTTGAGGCCAGGGCAGCAGCTTTGCTGTCCAGAGATATTGGCCACAACTATTTTTGTCAGTTTTTAATCGCTGGCCAGAATGCTTAGGGGCGGTATGGGGTATCTGAAGGTTAAGACACAACTGGAGCCTGAAAAATTCATGCAGGGCATGCTGTGGGTGTTGTTGACCTAAATGAAGAGGTAAACTGAGGGAAGTTCAAAAGGAGTTTTGAGCAGAGGAATTGAAGTTTGGGACAAACAAACTGTGTAGCAAGCCACAGGTGAGTCCATTGAGTGTTTGGAGTAGGTTGTTTATAAGCAGGGAATGTAAAGAGAGGAGAGTCAGTTAAGACCAAAAAACAAACCAGCCTTGAAAATTTCTGTGCAGACAAAACCAGCCCAGTCACACAAATAAAGCTCAATTCAGCCCTCTTTGCAAGACCAACCCGACCTGGGCCATCTGTTTATACCTCTGGAAAAACTTCCCAATATTGATGTGAGACAACTTCTGGCCAATTCCCCGTCAACCAAGAAAATTGCAATACTATCAGTTCTCTGTAAGTCAGGCATTTACAGGAAATCAATCAGTCTCTTCGTCCTTAAATTTTCTGTTCCTGAGGTCACACACCTGAGATTCTCCATTTTGTATCCTCTGGTTCTATTTTATTTTATTTTAAAAGATTTTATTGGTGAATCGGGGAAGGGGAACAGACAAGTTGCTGTCCTTTTGTTCTTCAGTCTAGTTGTGGAGGATGTTGCTTCATTGGCACATGTTGGTATTATCGTTGTGCTCTTCCCAGCTGAGACAGATCGGTTGCTGGCCAATGGATGGTGGCTCACGGTGGCTCTTGGCAGCTCACACTGGCTGCTGGCCACTCACAGTAGCTCACAGCAGCCCGCTGCAGCCCCACTGCAGCCTATGCGGTCACCCGCGACTCACGGCAGCTCAGCTCCAGGTGGAGCTGTTGTTCACCATCTTAGCTGTAGAGGGCAGCGTCACTGGCCCATGTGGGATCCTAATCGGGGCCCTGCTACTCAGAGCTCGCACTCCCAAGCCAACTCTTTTTTTATTTTTTAAAGATTTTTTACTAGGGAATTGGGGGGATGGGAACAGTGCTGGGGAATTGGGGGAAGGGGAACAGACAAATTGCTGTCCTTTTGTTCTTCAGTCTAGTTGTGGAGGACGTTGCTTCACTGGCCCAAGTTGGCACCATCATTACGCTCTTCCTGGGTGAGGCACATCAGCCCCGGCTTCTGGACCACTGGTCTCACGCTGGCTGCTGGCTACACACAGTAGCCCATGGCAACCCACTGCCACAAGAGCTGCAGCCTACGCCATCACCAGCGACTCACAGCAGCCCAGCTCCAGGTTGAGCAACATGTTCAGCATCTTAGCTGTGGAGAGCAGTGTCACTGGCCCCATATGTGGGATCCAAACCGGGGCCCTCTGGCATCCCAAGCCAGTTCTTTTGTTTTTTAAGATTTTTATTGGGAAATTGGGGGGATGGGAACAGTGCTGGGGAATTGTTTTGTTCTTCAGTCTAGTTGTGGAGGACGTTGCTTCACTGGCCCAAGTTGGCACCATCATTGCGCTCTTCCCGGGTGAGGCAGATCAGTCGCCGGCTTCTGGACTGCTGCTCACTGCGGCTGCTGGCCGCTCACGCTGGCTGCTGGCTACACGCGGTAGCCCATGGCACCCCACTGCCACAGGGGCTGCAGACTACGCCGTCGCCAGCGACTCACGGGCAGCCCAGCTCCACAGGCAGCCCAGCACTAGGTTGAGCTGTTGTTCAGCATTTTAGCTGTAGAGGGCAGTGTCACTGGCCCTCATATGTGGGATCCGAACCGGGGCCCTCTCGCGTCCCAAGCCAGTTCTTAACCATCGCGCCACTCGGCCGGCCCCCAAGCCAACTCTTAACCAACAGTCCCTTGCTGGGCCCTCCTCTGGTTCTATTTTAGATTGAAATTCTTTCACAGTGTAGATAGTGGAATGTTAGATGTGGAAATGACCCTAGAGAGCCTACCTCCCTTTTACAGCGTGACGCTGTGGCCTGAGGCAGGGCGACTTGCTCAAGATCACACACCGGGTCCATGGAGGAATTGGGACAAACAGCCTCTTGGCTCCAAGTTAAGTGCATTTTTTCCAGTATACTCAGCATTTTTAATGTAATTTTTAAATTGTATTTTGAAACAATCTCAAGCTTACAAAAATTTTGCAAGTATAGTACAAAGAACATTTTTTCCCCAGAATTATCTGAGATTTAAGTTGCTGACACAATGCTACATTGTTCCTAGATACTTTAGTGTGTATGACCTAATAAGTACCCTCTACTACACAGTCATAGTATAACTAGCAAAATCAAAATATTTACATGATATGTTTTGTAGATTGTCCCGATAATATTCTCTGTCGTTAAAGGGAGTCAATTCAGAAGCAAGCATTGTATTGACTTGTCACATATTTTCAGTTGCCTGCAATCTGGAACCCTTCTTCAGTCTTTTCCCTTACTCTCATTACTTGACACTTTTGCAGATACACAGCCAATTATTTTAGAGAATGGCCTTCATTTTGCATCTGTCTGATGTTTACTCATGGTTAGATTTAGGATAGGTGTCTTTGACAGGACTCCCACAGAAGTGATGGTGTGTTCTCATTGCATTCTATCAAATGGCACATGATTTTAATTTGTCTCATTGATGTTTATTTTAAGAAGGTAGTGTCTACTAGGCTTCTCTACTGTAAAAATGTTACTTTTTTCCCTTTGTAATTAAGTATTTTGTGGGGGAGAGTCCATGAAACTAAGTATTTTGTTTCTCATCAAATTTTCAATTTATTTATATAAGTATGAATTCAAAGTTTCTTGTTTTATTTAATGGGTTATAATCTGTTTCTATCATTATTTGTTTTGATGTTTAAATTGTCCGAAGTTTGATCAGTGGGAGCTCGATTTATGCTGGTTTCTGTGTCTTTGTGTGTGTGTTTTAAAGACTTTTGTAATTTATTATAAAACATTTTTAAAATACAGAAAATTTGAGTTTCATATACTCTATACCCACCATTCATATTCTACATTAACATTTTACTATTTTATGCCCTTTGACACACCTCCATCATTCTTTGAGCACTCCCTTATTTTCTGCACAGTACGGTGATCTAGGCTCATCTTGCCCTAACCCTGGACACAGTCTTTTATCCAGGAGCCCATCAATGGGTGGGATTAACCTTCAGGCTGACTGGCTGTGGGATTTGGCCACGTCCACAGCTTACAGGGTGCTGTGTGGGGGGGCTTAGCACATTGAGTGGATTTGCCCTAGCAGGCTCTAGTGCCTTTTGAGACCACCCTTTGTGTGTGACACTTGTGGGGCTAATTTGGTGGTGTTCCGTTGTGGTCTGAAGCCAACCTCCAAGTCTGTTGATTCTGGGACATCTTGGGAGGGGCTCCAGTGCAGACCCAGGTACCCACTGCCTGTGACTAGCCAGGGACTATCTGGTTGGAGCTACAAAGTGATCCATGGTTGTTCGCTGCCTGTGCTAAACTTGGAGGCGTGTGGGAGAGGCCATGCTGGGAACTGAGGATGGCTGTCACCAGTACCAGGCCTGGTATAGCTCCACAAAAAGCCAGGACACCCTGAGGCCTCCTGCCAGCTGCCAGCTCCCTTAAGGTTCAGCCACTGATAAAGCCTCTTGTGGTCTACAAGTTGGGTGAGGCTGGGTCTCAGGGAGTCACCAGAGTGGGAAGAGTTGTGTTCACCGGATTAATGTAGATTCTGGTTTGGTGCCAGTGCTGAGCCTGGAGCTACTCAGCAAAAGTCTCAGAGCACACTGAAGGATAGTCGCCACTCGCCTGAGGCCTGCAGACCCCCATAGTTTTCCAAGGAAGAGTGCAATGTGGGCAGGGCTGGCTGCTCACCAAGAAAGTGCCTCTAGTGTTGGGCGAGTTGGGTGGAATGGGAGTCCCAGCGGAGCTCTTCAGACCAATTCAGATTCAGATTTGGCTGTGTGGGGGTTGGGCTCAACACAGGAAAGATTGTGCTCACCTGCTGGCTGCACAGGAGCAGGCCTCCACACAGGGAAAATGACAAATGTCCCTCTAGTTCTTGATCAGAAACCACACAACTCAGTCTGTCCCCATATGTCTCTGATGCCCCAAGAATCACTATCTCTCTACTGGAGCCCAGAGTGAGTGTCTGTGAATGAGTGAGACTGTGCATGGGCCCTTTAAAAGGATGTCTGGGTTTCCCACAGCCTTCCATCCCACCGGGATGGTTGGAATCCCCGCAGTTTTTCACAGCCAGATGTTTTGGGGGCTCCATTTTTCAGCACCAGTACTCCAGGCTGTGGAGGCTGTGTGGGACTGGGTCTCTCGCTCCTCTGGGGTAACCTCCATGGTGGCGCTATCCCTCCCCATTCTCAACCACCACACAGAGTTTTGGGGCCTGCCTGTTCTATGTCTCCATCCCTCCTACCAGTCTCAACGAGGCTTCTTTATATCCTTAGTTATAAAATTTCTGTTCAGCTAGACTTCAGATGGTTCTCCAGGTTGATGGTTCTATAATTTAGTTGTAATTTTAATGTGTTCATGGAAGGAGGTGGACACAGTATTTGTCTTCTCCACCATTTTGGGTCTTCCTGCAATATCTTTTTTTAAAGGAATGCATGCTAATCTTTTAGAACTAGTGTTCCTGGGAGCAGACTTTGGGAAATGCAGCCCTGGACATTTGTTATAAGTGATCTGCTCCAGTCATGTCAGGTTGCTCAGTGTTGGTGAAACCACTGAGAAGACTAGAGTATATATGTACCAAGCTCATGTCGATTTCAGTGTGATCTGAAGCCTGGAATGACAGTGATACCCCACTCCAACAAAATATCTGCTGGCCCTTTGTGATACAGTTTTCTACACTTTGGTCTATCAAGCATTATTTTTCAATATTTTACTGCTGAGCTTGCTATAATCTGTGACAGCTTCTAGTGCTAAATTTCCCAAAAGAACTTTGGCCACAGGTAGGATTTTCTTCAGTAGGCAACCTATCATCATACTTAGTCAGCCAAGAAGTACTTACAACACAGCATAGATCTTATCCATGATGGCAAGTAAGTAATAGTAGGCCATCTAACCTTGAAAGAAGCAGTTAAACTCAGGGCAGGTGCTTCTAAACAGGAATACCAGGCAAAGGTAGATCCACAACTATGGATTTGATAATACTTTATATAAGAAATGAGTACAATTATGTTCATACCTGACTAGGACACCTAAGGTTCATTCCAATTCCTCATTCTCTGATCAGATTTAAGAAATACAGTGTTTTGCATGTGCATAAACGTCATGGTTTCATTCCATATATTTTATAAGCAAGCCATTTAACTTTTTGGGTTTTCATTTTCCTCTGGAAAATGAACATGTCGTATTAGAGAGTCTCTAAGATGTCCTCCCAATTTTAAAATTCAAACATTCTGTTGTTCTTACAAAAATCCCTTTAAAATAAACAGAGTAGCTATTATTTGGAAGAAATAGAAACCAAAGCCCAGAATAGCTAAATGATTTGTCCATGTTTGGTACAAGATTCCAGAAGTAAGATTTCAAAACCAGGTCTTCCGAGTCCTTGTCTGATATATTTTCCATATCATGATAGTACCACATATATTCAAAACTGTATAAAATATGTTAAACTAACAACACTTTAAATGTCTTTTATAGGCATGTAGTCATATACAGTAATACCTTGGTTTGCGAGCATAATTCGTTCCAGAAACAAACTACTCGTATTGCAAGATATCACTCATTTACCAAGTTAAAATGTATTATTAGGTTGGTGCTCATAATTATTAGGTTACTCATAATGGCAAAAATCACGATTACTTTTGCACCAATCCAATAAAAATGTTTGCTTGTTTTGCAGAACATTCTCAAACCAAGTTATTAACAATCCAAGGCTTTACTGTATTTATTTAAAAATATTATTGGGCCAGCCGAGTGGCGCATTGATTAAGAGCTGGCTTGGAACACCAGAGGGCCCCGGTTTGGATCCCACATATGAGGGCCAGTGACACTGCCCTCTACAGCTAAGATGCTGAACAATGGCTTGACCTGGAGCTGGGTTGCCTTGAGTCACCGGCGACGGTGTAGGCTGCAGCCCCTGTGGCAGTGGGTTGCCATGGGCTACCATGTGTAGCCAGCAGCCAGCGTGAG